TGGGTAAATACCAAGTAGAGGAATTGCTGGATTATGTCACTTTTAATATTCTTTTCCAACACCATAATTCAAATGTATTAATTCCTCTGTGATCTTCTTATTCATCATCCAACTTTTATATGCATATGAGCAATTGAAAATACCATGGGTTAAGTCAAACACACCTTAGTCTTCAAACTGACAGTTTTGTTCTCTAAGTCTTTAAAGAGGTTGCCTGCAGCAGATTTGCCTAATGCAAAAAGTCATTTGATTTCTTGACTGCTGTTTTCATGAATGTTGATTGTGGATCACAGCAAAATGAAGTCTTTAAAAACTATCTTTTCTCCATTTATCATGATGATATTGATTGGCCCAGTTGTGAAGACTTCATTTTCTTTTCATTGAAGTGAAATCATACTGAAGGCTGTGGTCTTTGATCTTCATCAGTAATAATTTTAAGTCCTCTTCACTTTTAGTAAACAAGGTTGTATCACTTGTATATCACAGATTGTTAATAAATCATTTTCCAATCCTGATGACATGTTCTTCTTCATATAATCTAGCTTCTTGTATTATTTGTTCTGCATTCAGATTGAATAAGTATGGTGAAAGAATACACATCCTTCCTTGTTTTAAAACATTCAGTATCCTCTTATTCTGTTCAAACAACTGCCTTTTGGTCCATGTACAGATCCTTCATGAGCACAATAAAGTATTCTGGAATACCCGTTCTTTGCAATGTTATCCATAGTTTGCTATGCTCTACATAGTTGAAACCTTTTGCATAGTCAATAAAACACAAGCAACCATCTTTCTGGTATTCTTTGCTTTCAGCTCAAATCCATCAGACGTCAGCAACGACATCTTTAATTCTGTATCCTCTTCTTAATCTGGTTTGGACTTCTGACAGTTCTCTGTTAATGTACAGTTGCAACCAATTTGGAATTCTTGACAGCAAATTCTTGACAGCAAATTTTACTTGACTATAATATTAATGATATTACTTGATGATATCTGTATTCCATTCTGTCACCTCTCTTTGGAATGGACACAAATATGGATCCTTTCCATTTGATTGGCAAGGTATCTGTCTTCCAAATTTCTTAGCATAGATGAGTGAATGCTTCCAGTGCTGCATCAGGTTGTGAAATTTTTCAATTTGTATTCCATCAATTGCTGAAGTCTTGTTTTTCACAAATGCAT